TATCTGTATTCAAAGTAACTTTGGTTTGATAAAACTTTCGAAACTCCCATTAAATTAATATTGTAGTCAGATTTTTCTGAAGACTATGTTTCATTCATTTTGACATTCTGAATTTAGCTTTGTGTTAGTCAGTTGTCAATTAACTCTGTATGTGTAACTTTGACTTTTTGTACAATTGTTTCCTCAGGAAATGTAGTTTTAGTGGGCCAGTGAGATCAAAGTCCTGGTAGAATGTACTCAACAACTCATTAGAGAAATGCTGTAGTAAAGATACAGCAAGACCTGGAAACATTGTTTTGTTTTTCCTTTTGGCATTGCCCTACCAATAAGAAGAGGAGAGGAAAACCAAATATTGATGACAGAAAATAAAGAATGCCTCATGGAGTGGAATAATTATGGAATCCAGCACACAAGCAGAAATCATCACCCGTGTCATTAAGCAGGCACTGGCCTATTGCTGGTGAACACTTTTGCCCCTGACTGTTATTGGCCTCCTCCTTCAGGGACTTTGCTTTTGTTGTCAAGGAAATGATGAAGTGAGAAAATTGAAGGAGGCCACTCTGGTCGAGGGGACACTGGCTAGATGAGACATGCCTGGCAAACAAGAGTTGTAACTATTTCCAAAAAAACTATGCTGAACATATCTTTACCCCTGGACTTTATGCCAGCTAAGAACAGTGGATCATGTTCTTGAACTTGGATGATTATGTACATTCCAGAAGAGAGTGTGGATTCAGGGATATACAATGTGGCTTTGCAGCTGACAGCCTTTCTCTTTCTCACTGAAAAGTAACATACTGCAGATTAAAAAAAAATTGGTACCTGTCATTGAAATAAAAATTCTCCCTGGGCATTTCAAAATACTTGATTTAATATGACACATAGTTAAATGAGTCAGCCAGTCCTTTAGGCTATGTGCTGTCTTGCTTGATTGTGTTTTCTCTCTGTCTTTCCTGTGCTCTGTTTACTAGTTTGGGGGACAGAAGTGCCTTCATTTGTTTTTCCATGGAATTTCAATGATTGATAGACTGTGTTTTAATGATAACGAAATAACACTGCTCTTAGCTAACAGTCTGCCATCTGTTATGATTGGAACCTTAAATTTTTCCCCACAAGCTCATGTGTGGAAAGTTTGTTTCCCTGCTATTGGGAGGCAGTGGCAACTTCCAGAGGTATGACCCAGTTGGAGGAGGCAACTCGTTGGGACATAAAGAGGGTCTTGGGATCCTGGCCATCTTCCCTGACCTTGACTGTCCCATCCACATTGACGTAAATAGCCTCCTCCACCAAGCCCTTCTGCCTTGCTATTCTGTCTTACCACAGCCCCCAAAAGAACGCAGCCAGATGACCATGGACAGGGAGCTAAGATAAATCTTTTAAGAAGATTTTTTTCAACTATGCTGCCAACTATGCTACTGGAAAGTAGACCTTGAAAGTAGTCCTTCTCTTGGTTTTCAAATAGAGGGAAAACCAAATGTTTCCTAATGGGAAACAAATAATTGGAAAATAAATGAAATGTTTCATCATATCCAACACAGATACATTGTGATAATTACAACAATATTCTCAGTTTCCTTTCCTCCCCTCCTACCATTCTTCCTCCCTTTAATGCTTATTGGGACTTTCTTTTATCATTCAGGATTTCTTTAATATTGTGTGTGTGTGTGTGTGTGTGTGTGTGCACGCACATGCATATATATATGCAATATATATATATATATATCCATATTGTATTAGGGCAGCTAGATCTAGGTAAAGAATAATGTGACCAGACTCTGGCTAAATTGTAGTCCACTTTATGGCTAGGCTGTCTTGTGTTTATTAATTGATGAGCATTTGGGCTAATATCTGCTTTTTGGCAATTTTGAATAAAACTGCTATGAATATCCATGTATAAGAGTTTGTGTGGAGCTTGAACACCACCCCCCACCTCCAGGAATATTCCTAGTAATACTTCCTGCCATTTGGTGACTGTACATTTGCAGAGCTGGGAAGTCAGCATTGAAGGCATCTCAGGGATGCCTATCAAAAAGAGATGTATCATGATACTGACGTCAAACGTTGCTCTGGTTCTTTTTCCCTTTTCCACAGGGAACAATCTTTGCTCCATATTTCTTAAATGTCTCTATCTTCATTTCTTTTCTGTTGCTCTGATAAGACACCATGACGAAGGCAACTTAAAAAGGAAAAAGATTTTCTGGGTTTGCTGTTCCAGGTTAGAGTCCACAACAGTGGAGAGGAGACAGCAAATGGCAGGTGTGGTGGCTGGAGCAGCAGCTGAGGGCTCACATCTTGGACCACAAGAATGAAACAGAGAAAGGAAACTGAAAGTGGCCTGAGTCTTTAAACTCTCAAAGCCTACCTCCAATGACACACCTCCTCCAACAAAGCCACATCCTCTGAGCCTTCCCATACAGTGCCACCAACTGGAGACCAATTATTCAATTACCTGAGATGACAGGACATTTTTTTCATTCAAACACCATAGTGTCTATATTCTAAAGCTTGTTAGAATTGAAGCAGAAACTTTGGGGAGTCACCCCGGTCCATCAGTCTTCACCAGACAAGGTCTACTTGCAGCCTTTATGGGTGAAGAACAAAGAGCCTCAAAACAAGCACTAGGTTAATGGAAACACAAAACAAAATAAAATTCTGTGATTCTAATTTGTATATTTCAGGGTCAGCTCAAGAAACACTCTAGCTTCTCCAAGAAGAAAAGAATTTAACAGAGGGAATAAAGAACTTGTCTGCCATTAAAGGGATTTCAGTAGAGCAAAGAGATGAGCACTAGGCTCTTGGCTTTAAGAAAGTACATCCTTGGACTGGAGAGATGGCTCAGAGGTTAAGAGCACTGACTGCTTTTCCAGAGGTTCTGAGTTCAATTCCCAGCAACCACATGGTTGCTCACAACCATTTGTTATGAGATCTGGTGCCCTCTTCTGGTGTGCAGATATACATGGAAGCAGAATGTTGCATACATGATAAATAAATAAAAAATCTTAAAAAAAAAATAAGGTACATCCTTGCCTTGTCTTTCTGGTCCAGAATATGAGAGATCACCCAGGAGTCAGTAAATTAGGTGTCATGCAGGCAATGCTCTGAAGCTCAAAGGTGTTAAGTGGGGTGGGGGTGGGGGACTGAGGGGGTGAGAGG